GTGATGAACATTTGTAAATAGGTTTAATGTCAGTAAAAATCCTTGAACTTTAAAAAGAAGTCATTATCATCTCTGTACTGAAAAACAGTTCAAAATAATCGTTAAACTTTCGTGAGGAGGCCAAGTGTCATTTTTTGTCAACAGACATCTTGACGCCATCCAAAAGTTTGTTAAGCTCTCTATTAAGTTCAATGGTGTTTCCTATGTGGCACTGATGTGGCACCAACTTGGACCTATTTTTTTTTTTTGGCCAACATGTATTACAGATCTATTTGAATAGAAGTGGATATTTTTTGGGTAAGAAAAATTTTCTTTATTTGGTTATCAAAAAAAAAAAAAAAGAGAGGAAGAGAGGGGAAAGGAATAATTTCCTTTTTTTATTTTTTTCTTTTAATTTATTTATTTACCCAAATGAAAAGAAGAGAGAAAAGGGCAATGAAAGAACACAATTTCTATTTCCTCTATTTCCTTTAATCCAAATATAGGAATTAATTTAAAAATCCAACTCAAAACAAAAAAGTACAATTAACTATCTAAGCTATTTAGTAATAATTTTTCTCCAAATATGACATGAGATTTTATATATATTAAGTTATATAATAAAAAATAATTCACTTTCATCATATTACTTATTCCACCCACATAATTAGTATCTGTATAAAATTAAATTGAATCCACTTCAATGGTTAAACCAAACCATAAAAAATGTGTTAACTAAATTAATTAAAAGAGTTCAAAATTTATGTTTTTTAAAATTTTAGCTAAGTATTGACGAGAACAAGGATCCTCACTACGATCCCATTCCTGTTTAAAGCAGCTCATCAAGCGTCCACCTTTGGGCATGGTCCCTTGAGATATGTAAGATTTTTGGGCCAGATTCTCACTGGACCAACACCCATAGACCTAGCCCATATTTCTTGATCTTTATTCCTTAGGAAATGCTATGCTAATTCAACTCACTAAAAATAATAGAATTATATTAAATTATAAAATAAAAATAAGGTAAGTATAGTCCCTTTGGTTTTTTTTTTTTTTTAAACATATATACATAATATATATATATAGATATATACATACATATATATATACACATACACTCTGCTGCTTTTCTTCACCCTCTTTGTCAATTCTGTTTTACTCTTTTACCTTCAGTTGTATAAGAATGATATGAAATAACATAGTAGACATGACCAGCCAAAGTAATACTCCATTAATGACAGCAATCTTTGTTCCTAGTTTCTCCGTTCTAGGCATGGAATTTCAGTTTTAACAGACAACAATTTGATTTAGCAATTGCATACATCTAAATAGCAATCTACAAAACCTCATTCTAATTAGATAAAATTAAGAAACCTGGCTCAAGCTGACAAATTACCGCAACAAAAATCTTCACCATCCAAATTCAACAGTAAAGATAAACAAACTAACAACCAGTGCAGTGCGTACCTTCGATCATTAACCGCCCAAAACGCCGCACATCATTCAAAAACTCCTTCATTTTTGCGCGTCCTGGGGTAATGGATCCACATCGTACCATCCATTGTCCGGACGCCGTTAGCGTCGCTCGTCTCCACTATCTCGTCGAACTCAGCCACGTTTAAAGCCACTGGCTTTTCCATCAGGAGAGATGCTTTTTCTTCTGTGCCACGCGCATTGCCCAGCTCCGGTGGAGGCTAGTGGGGAGCGGCAGGTACACGGCGTCGATCTCAGGGTCGTCCAGCAAAGGCTTCGTGGGAGCCATAGATCTTGGTTTCGGGTGGGAATCCGTTGGCCCGCGAGAATTCAACTGCCTTCTCCAAGGAACGGCTGGCGACAGCAGACAGCTTGGCGTTTGAGCCAATAGAATGGCTCGAGATACTTTCTGGACAGCCTAAGATGCCGATTTTGATTGAAGTTACTTTAGCCATTTTTCCGATGATAAGGTCTGTGTAGTGGCTTTTCTTCTTTTTTTTTTTCTTTTTTTTTTTAACAAGGCAAAATTTTTAATGAAAAGAGAAATATTATACTGTTCTAATAGATTCATATATTGGTATAAAACATTATAATTATTCTAATAGAAATTCAAATATTGATATAAGTATGAATCAAAATATTTGATGAACACTATCAGTCCATCAAGATCTGCTAATGCAGGTCTGCATAGTGTTGAGTTGGTGCAAACACATAAATAAGTGTAATAAATTAAAAATTAAATTTATTAAAATTAAAATAAAAAAATATAATTATTTTATATAATTTGAGATATTATTTAATAACTAATTATTTTTA